TAAATTCTTATACTAGACATTTGAAGAAAAACATAAACGGACTGCATATAGCAGAGATCACGGGTTGCCAACACGTCTCTGATAGGAACATAGGGTTGTCTTCCTTGGGCCTCGAGGGTATTCAAAAGTCGCTCTCTGGCGGCGTCATTATCCGTACATTGCCAAACTGCGTTTCGATGTCATGTTTGATTTCTTTATATTTGCAACGATGATGATTTCCTATAGTGACACATATCACCTTCTTAATGCTTCAGTATACCTCAAACGATTAATTCTTGGTTGTTAATAGAACTTCCTTGATGAAATCGGCTGCTTCATGCAGACTGAGCAATTCTGATTGTAGTATCAGATTTGTTCTGTATACAGAGGAACTGGGAGGGCTTATTAGAAACTTCTCACCAATAAAGTAATGATCTTCTAGTAAATTTTGCATATAATTTTATTCAAATTTTATTTTATTTTAGCATATTAGTTTTGTTACAGTCAATTGGCATTAGCATACGATACAAAAGATGTAATATTACTTGCTGGTTTTTGTGTAAAATAATCAATAATACCTTTGAAAGATTTTTCAAGTTTTTGTGATCTGATAGATTTCCCAGTTTGGTAAGAAGTTTCGAAGCTAACGCATGTCCACAGGCTTAATAGAAAGATAGGCAGAAAAAGTGTATCATGAAGAATGGTTGCATGCAGAGTTTCTTCCATTCACATGCTATAGATGAGTTATTTTCGGAGTTTTGAATTCGTTAGATGTTGTAGAAGGGATTTGTGTTTGTTGGATGCGGGAGGAGATTGGAGGGCCGGTGTTTGACGCATAGAGCCGTCAATTTCGCTTTCCGAGTGTCGCAGTCGGCGGTTTTATGATTCGTGAGCGCTCGTGATTCGTAGAATCGTTGATTGTGGGTTGATTTGACGGGTTTTGTGTGTCGGACGCTTGCCTTTTGGCCTCTTCTTGTGTCTAGCATGTGCAAGGTAATATTATAGCGTCAAATGGTTTTCAGATTCCTGGTTGCGTGAAATACATTTGTGAGAATATCTTTTTGAGATTTTAGTAGTAGTAGTAGAGCAACTTATCGTCATAAAATTAAAAATTACATATAGGTATTAGTCAAAAAATGTCGATAGTAAGTTAGATATGTTATGGTATGGACTTCTGCAACGTTTTTTGTTCATTTCATCCAGTTCACTTTAAAACAAACAAGTATGAAAGGAGATTGCTTAGAATAAAGATAAAAGTAATAAGCGCAATATTAAACGACATTAAATTTGAATCTGATACGGTAGGCCATATAACAGAGTCGATAGCCATTGCAAATCAACCATCTCTACCTACTCAGCTACACTATTATTGCTGTTACTCTGACTATCCCCTATGTTCAACAGCTTTCCTTACTATCCGGTATCGTAAACAGGATTCATTTGACCCCTGTGGTTATTATTCTGTGATGCCAAATCTATACCTCTACCCTGGTGCAGTATGGACAGCGATTTTTCGCTGGTGACTTGGCCCTATGACCCCCTTCTGTGCTTGAAAATGAAATGAAATGAATTTCTGTATTGCAAAATAGTGATCTTTTCGTGAACATTAACGGCAAAGAACTCATCAACACTGGGAGACCGTGAGTTCCTGCCCACCTGTCTTAAAAACATCTCGGGCCAAGCACATCTAGGGGAAAAGTTGGCTTCAGCAATACCTTAACCTATTATCGTCAGGGGGTAAACAACGTCCTTGAGAGCTCAATTTTGGCATGTGGATACATTGTGTTTCAGAGCAACTATTGGCCAAATTTGAGTGCTCTAGGACTTTGTTTACCCCCCTGCAGTGATGGAAAAGTTCGCTAAAAATCACTATGACTCGCGAACTTTTCCAACACTGCCCCCCTGACGATAATAGGTTAAGGTATTGACGAAGCCAACATTTCCCCTATGTGTTTTATTTCATTCATTCGTCTCCGTACTTATCCTTATCACAACACAACGTAGGGATCCCACCCGTGCGCGATCACACAATCCCCCCTATTCTGCGAGTCACGTGACTCTCTCTCACCGATGAGGTGACAATAGAGCATTTCTAGCTCAAATCGTTAAAAAAAATGTCAATTTTGTCTCGACCCCTTCTGATTTGAATGAAACATTGCTCACGTGTTCGCTGCTACTAATGGTTGCATTTTTCATTTAAATATCATTTTTTCCTCCAGAGTAACTTTTGAAAAGGGCGTATAAAAAAATGGATTATTTTTTATTCAAAAAATCATAACTTGAAAACTATTGATCTGATCAAAACGGCATATGAGAAGAAGTTTTAGGTAGTTAAATTATTTTTGCGGAAAAAATACACTGAAAGAAAAAACTTCGTAAATTAGTATTTAAAAACGTAAAACGATGATTATCTCAAAACACCCCCCCTTCGATCTTTATAAATTTTTTTTTTCAAGAAAATTGATGGAATACCCTTGAATTTCGTGAAAAGTGTATGCTGGTAACTTCCTTAAAAAGAAATCTATAATTTTTTAAATTTTTGTTGATTTTTACAAGTTGATGAAAATGCATATTTTTTTGAAAAATAACAATTTATTTGGATTCTACGCATAATTTTCGATAACTTTGCATATAGAAACTTTTTTCCTAAGTCCAGCCGTTCTCAAGTTAATGCAAATTAAAAAAAATATAATTATAACAATTTTCAACATTATTGGCCATTTTCAAATGTTTGTCGAGATGTCCAGCAACGAGATTTTATTTCATGATTGTATATTAAAAAACAAACAATTCATTCTCAGATATGGTAGCTGTCAGACTTACCCGTTTCTATCTAGAGGCAGCGGAAGAGAAGCACGTTGATATGGTCAAATGAAAGATTTGTTGAGATAAAAAACAGTATATATTTATTATTTTATTTTACAACTCATATTATTTGAATACATTGAATAATTTGGGTGTATCGTTTGAATTAGAGAATATTTTTACTGAAATTTGGTTGTTTGAAACTGGAATATAGCAATGATATTTTCGAGTTCCAGGAATTGGTTTCACTTTCTTAAAAATTGGATCAAATTCCGTGTCAGCCTTTTTGTATTCTTCCGTAGAAACATAACAAAATGACATTTTTGTTTGAAGATCTTCTTTACGACTATTTGCCCAGTCGTACAGTTGTTAAGGGTTCGTTATAGGGTGCTCGTGTTGCTTAGCTAAACTTGCTCTGGTTGCCATTCTCTTAAGGGTACCGCCAATCGCATAACAATGACCTTTGCCGTGTGAAGTTGCAAAAAAATGCCATTCAATTTCTACATTATGCTTATCTTTAAATCCACAAATGCTAGCAAAAATTTTTATGTTTTTGTATTGTGATGCTGCTCCATCTGACATAAAAATACACTTTTGGACTGTTATTTGCAACTTTAAAAATTTTAATAATTTTGAGATAAACAACTGAACTGCTACTGTGTCATGCTTTGAAATTGATTTAGGTGGAGGTTTACAACACTTGAAATTGTTATCCATCGTAAAAAACTACTTGCTTTTTAACTTGAAACGCTAAGAGAGATGAACTGAATGGAACAGGTGAAGATCGTCCCAATATATATATATATGTAGCAGAATAATTACAATGTTGACATTATACCTATCTTCATTAGGTACAATTGATTATAGCAAACTTTTTTAAGTGTGAGTGTAAGAAGCCTCCACGGAGTGCCTTTTTATGTAGTTGTGATATCGCGGGATGAGCTCTTAAGGCACAATATGGTATACGTCAGAGAAGTACCTAGAGAATTTATCTCAATTACAGGTTTAATAACATATTTGTTTACCTGTTTATGTTTTGAGCCTCTGTTATGACATACACAATTCTATCCAGGTATACAACTAATAGAGGACAGAAAAAAGGCACATGAGTGGGTTTGTTGATTATTTGGGTATATTTGAGAGTATTTACTTATAAACTTGTTTCTTTTCCGCTGCGTCTAAATAGAAACGGGTAAGTCTGACAGCTACCATATTTGAGAATGAATTGTCTGTTTTTTAATATATATTCATGGAAAAACATCTCGTTGCTGGACATCACGACTAACATTTGAAAATGGCCCAAAATGTAGAAAATTATTATAATTATTTTTTTTAATTGCACTAACTTGAGAACGGCTGGATTTAGAAAAAAAGTTTCTATGTGCAATGTTTTTGAAAATTATGCGTAGAATCCAAATAAATTACTATTTTACTAAAAAATATGCAATTTCACCAACTTGTAAAAACCAACAAAAATTTCAAAAATTATAAATTTTTTTTTAAGAAAGTTACCAGTATACAATCTTCACCAAATATTAGGGCATTTTTTCATTTTTCTTGAAAAAAAAAATTATAAAGATCGAAGGGGGGGTGTTTTGAGATAATCATCGTTTTACGTTTTTTAGATACTAATTTACTAAGTTTTTCTTTCAGTGTATTTTTTTCCGCAAAGATAATTTAACTACCTAAAACTTCTTCTCAAATGCCATTTTGATCAGATCAATAGTTTTCAAGTTATGATTTTTTGAAAAAAAAAATATTCCATTTTTTTATACGCCCTTTTCAAAAGTTACTCTGGAGGAAAAAATCATATTTAAATGAAAAATGCAACCATTAGTAGCAGCGAACACGTGAGAAATGTTTCATTCAAATCGGAAACACTCATGACCAACCGGTTTGCGTTTTGGGCTGGAAATGCTCAATAGTCACCTCGTGTGAGGTGACTCTCCATTTGATTTACATGGAGTGTCACCTCACACGAGGTGACAATTGTCACCTCACCGGTGACGGAGAGTCACGTGACTCGCAGAATAAGGGGGAATGACATACCTGTTTACAAATTAGCTATAAGCAAATGTAGTCAACCCATCTCGACCCACTGTTAGCAACTGTATGAAATGTTGAGACTCTCCTCCTTCCAATCATCTTACATAACTTGTGGATGACCCCCTAAGTTCGGATAATAAAAAGAAACACTAAAGTTTTGGCCTAAGATGTTGAGGCTTATTTTTTATTGAACTTGCATTTTGCTTCTTTGTTGAAGTGGAATAACTGAAAGAGGAAACAAAAACAATGCCACTTGTTTCATTGCAGAATAGTGTTCGTCGCGAATTTCGGTGCGTCAATTTATTTGCAGTCGAAATTACATTCATTTAAACCACACTGGGTTATCCTACTGCTTGCTAACGGAATCTATGAATCCGCATTTCGACAGTTTGTCGGTCAATATCAGTTTTCGTTTGGTCAGATAAATAATGTTATTTTTTTTATTTTGTCCAGTGTTTTAAGATAGTAGTGTATCAATCATACTGATAAGATAGTTTCAACAAGTCTTCACAGATTCTAGAGAACGACGATGGAGATCCTCTTCCTACACGTTTTATTTGAGCTAAGTAGAGGAGGTGTTTAAGCAGGCTTTATTTGGGTTGGAATTTGGGTGGATCAATTTTATAGTTTGATTATCACTATTGTTCTCTGTTTTGGCTAAATACTTTTAGTGCGGATTTTTTTGTCTATAGCGTATAAGTTAGAATATTGTATGCTGTTTAATTGTATTATTTAGTATTCGGTTATTACGATAATTTGATCACGTTGTGTGCCTTAATCTTTAATGATGTTTTTCTTTAGATGCTCCTTGTAGTCGAGGATATTGCCCTTCCATTTAGTGACGGTTCCATGTTCACAAATCCAAATTTCGTTAGCAACCTGGGGAAAAAATGTAAGAAAATATGAACATTACCGGAAATTATGTATAATGCATATGCACATTCAGACTCCCCGTAACTAAAAAAGTAATTTTGCAACTACACTACACTGAGAAGCATGAGACTGGCCTACATGTGTATCTTGGGTCACCCTCAGACCGTACACCGTAATCGCAGAATACTCTATTATGGCTATAAAGTACGCATTTTCGAGGGGAAATGGGACTAATTATTAAAAGAGAAAACTTTTCATATCATGGGTAGTCCCATTATTTTCCTAGAAAATGCATACCATCAGAGTACCAATTTCCGCTCACAAAGTGGAAAGTGAATTTCAGATTTTTCCCGGTTTTTCTGGTTTCCTCTATACAAATCCTGGTTTTTGAACAATGCTTCGAAATCTATCAGTTTTGCAGATTTCCTATAATTCGTCTACATGAGAGAAATGTCTGAAGTTTATTATATGAATTTAGTACAATACTTCAAATTATATGCTTCGCATGCACAATAAACTGGTTTTAAAAAACAGAAGTAAAATAATTATTCCCTTAAGTATACTTATTACGTCGTTTTAATTCTCAATTTATACTATTGTATAAATAATAAACTTTCACTATCACTTTGAACTATAACAGATGCGTATTTCGTTTACTACTTGCAAACTTTTTCAGTTTCTATAGTCATAGACTTAGACATAGAAGTTTGCAAGTAGTAAACGAAATACGTATCTGTTATAGTTCAAAGTGATAGTGAAAGTGAATTAGTGAATGTGATACAATAGTAGTAGAATGAAAAGGAAAAATAGACGTACAATGTATACAATTATTCTACTAAAAAGCTCATCATTAAATATATTCAACGTTCGCTGAGCTGTGTCGACTTTTCACCAACCAAAGGGCATTCTCTGACTAAAATGCATATCATGTGTCAAACCAGATAAAACAAATATTTTATATACATCAGTGCTCATCCGGTTCATGTCAACAAATTGAAATTAAATTTTGACAGATAAACAACCATTAACTGAGTATTTGTTTCAGTCCAAGGTTTTTATTTAGCTAACATCTACTGTAATCAAGCGGCTTAAGGCCATTTCTTGACCTTCGCTCAAGCCTTAATCCTAAACTCCTAACATAACTAAAAGGGACATTGGTTCTTAGCGATGTTGGCATTTATATGTCACAAGCTGAGTGTACCTGGCCTTGCTCTGGATTCAATATTAGCTTGAGTTTATGCGCCGATTAAAAAAAAAGCATGATATTTCGTACGTTGCTCCCCCCTATGACCATCTCCTTATACCTCTACATGCTAAATTTGGTTCACCGAGGAAAAATAAACAGACATATAAATTGACCGTCATCTAATTTCGAGCATAAATACGGTTATGACTATCATTCCCATTCCAAACTCACGGCTATAGCTGTGATGTATCAAGGAAAAAGTCTTATCCTGCGTTATACAATCGTATCATAACCAGTAATTATTATGGTGATAATTCATATCTGCAAGAACACGTACTACCTGTAGTCACGAATGCTTATTCATGGATAGAGATTTTGTAGTTACTCATTTTGTCGGATACCGTGACGCTTGAGCTCCAAGAATAAGGATGCTGACCGCATATCGTATCCACATTACCGAAGCCCAAGTATCAAGGGATCCGTAAAAAGCAAAACCAATAAAAAAATCCTTGCGTAAATAGGAATTCCCCTCTAAATATTGCAATTGTGGCTAGGAATCAAAGCAACCATTGGTATCCATCAACAAAGAAAACTTCAAATCGTTACTTTGAAGTCCGTAAGGAAACGCAATGTATTTCAATATATCTTCGCTAAAATGAATAGCAAATTCGTTTATTATTCAGTTCCAACATGGATCGGGTATCAAGATTGGACCTGCATGTTCTCGGACAAACGTCAGTTTGATCGTTTGCTTTTAAAACCCAGCTCAGGTTGATGTTTACACTTACAAAAAGTTCGGTTTCGCACTGATTTGTCGAAGTTCCACCTGTTGGTTCCATGATGGTCCTTACAATTTTTCGGAGCAATTCAAAAATTTAAGATTTTTCGCTTCACTTTTCGCATGAAACGTAATAACGTTGAAAAGATATTTATTTTGACAGTAAAACTCTCGTGAGCTTGTCAATTGTGAGTTGTGCCAGTTTTGAGATTTATTAAGCATCGTAAACAATGACGCGTACGTAAAAGAGAATTGATATAAGGTGATTCAAGAGACGTTTCTCAGTGGAACTGACAGCTAGAAATCTAGTGTGTGAGTGATCTGGTGTTAATGGTACTGAATGTAATCATAAACAAAGCAGAAATTCATATGAGAATAAACTGCCAGTAACTGTGATCTGTCAAAAGTTCTTGGTAAACAAAAAAGTCAGCTGATCGCAAGTGTCTTGTGGACAGCCTTATTGTCGATGGATCATAAAAAAAGTAAGTGGCTTTAATTTGCATGTTAAGAAATGGAATTTTTGAAGATAAACGGATATTTTTCGACATTGTAGCGTAATAGCACTAACACCAACAACTTTTAGCAAGAACAGGAAAATGAGGGAGCATTATTCTCACTTCCCACTTATAAATGCCCAACAGAAATGATCAGTGAGTGAATGATTTGGCTACTCTCTCCTTGTCATTTAATCTCACTGTCAAGGATGACTTTTATGAAGACGGTCTAGTGAGGTAGAGGTGTTTCCAAGTGATATGCTAGTTGACCGTCATTTCTGAGATGTGACGGTTATGCGAGGATGACCGTTAAGGTACAATAACCGTTATGATAATGCACAGCACTGGCTCCGCCATTTATTGTCCCTATCGCTAGTCTCCTGTTTCTTCCAGTTGATAGCTTCCTTGTACTGATGGTAGGAATTTTTGGCATATTGCACAAGACTTTTCGTGATTCCGACTTTCGACAATATAAGAATTTTCGTGACGAAACCCATAAGGTTTAGAAAATCTTTGCCAGCAACATTCATAAGCAGCGGCTCCGGTGATGTAGTGGTAAGCGTGATTGCCACTCGCCCCAAAGGGCCTGTGTTCAATCCAAGTCAGCGCTGCTGAGATTTTCTGAGGCATTAATCTCTGATCACGCGTTCCTTCGGGAAGTAAAGCCGTTGGTCCCCCGGTCCATGAGTTGATGGGTCGATACTTGATATGTAGGGTCCACGTGTGGGAGCTGCCTCACAATCTGTCCAAACATTCCTCAATTCGACGATAATTATTCAAAATTTCCTTGAAACTAAGAGCATCGCACAACTCATTAAATCCACCTTAATTTTGTCCGCTACCGTGCCGTACCGTATTATCCGTCTCTACTAGTTGTTCAAGACAAAAATTCAACCGATTTTTAGCTGTTTCAGGAGAATTCGAAGTTGCGTTGTCATGACAGCAGCGACGAAAGCGCTGCTCGATTATCAAAGTGTATTGAATATACATTATGATTTTTCTTGGTTTTGCTTAAAGATTCCCGGTTTTTTTTTCCATTTTTCCAGGTAAAAAAAAAAAGAATCCCGACATGGCTCCTGACCCTAGCTCATTTAAGGCAATGTTAAAGTTAAAAAATCGCAGGAAAAACCCAACATTGTATTGTTTTATGTATTTTCATCATTCGTTATGGTATGCTGAACAGATGGCGGTAATATGTGAACATCAAACGCAACCCTAATAAAATAGTTATGGTTATTTTGCTTAACGACGTGTTCTGGGTATAATCCAAACCATTTGTGGAATAGTTCAGGTAGCTCTAAGACTAGAAGGTCCTAAAGAAACGTGCTCAACTTTTTGGCTCAGCTCTGGTACTATCTTCGGTCCTAAGCTAATCGATGCACCCCTCGAAACATAGGAAAATCCACGAACCTCTTATTTTATCTGTCAAGTTCCAAAGTGAATCAAAACAAACATAGTGTATTACTAGAATTTCAACTAGAATGGGGTACGCTTATATATGTACTTGGGACCAATAGACAGTCTTTGACACTGTGCAAAGAGTGTATCATTTTGTAATTTTTTTTATGCATTTCAGTTTTGAGTAGTGTGAAAGAGATAGAACCAAAACATTCTAGTACATTTGGTGAATACTGCTAGTACAATCCAGTAGTAGTGTTGCCATGTGGTACATTAAAAAATTGCAATAGCAGGTTCGTCGCCAAAGTGTTCGAGTCTGTCACTTCGTTTGTGATGATACACTCTTTGCACACTGTCAAAGATCATTGCACACAAAATCAACTTTGTTCAAATCAAAACAAAAATACTAGCCCATCTGGCAAGCTTCTAAGAAAATTCCATAACAGCGAACCACATTATTTTAATTGATTTCTTCGTCAGTTAGTTTGTGCTAATATTAAAGGTGGCAGAGAAGTCTAGGGTTTAATTTTTTATAAGCTTTCTGTAAAATCCGCGCCATAGAGTTATAAAAACGCGCGAAACTCTGTAATTATCACGCACAACCTATATATATATATTCTCGTATTCGTTCGAACCAATAACCGTCGATAACGTCTGCCAATTCACCATTGCAGACGCTACGAGATGATCTAGCCAAAAAGCTAAAAATCTCGCTAAGTCTTAAAAAACAAAAAAATTGGTGGGGTTGTGTACAAGACACGACTACGTTAAGCTGTGTAGTGAAATTCTCGTGCATTTTTTCTAGATATTGATTTAAAATACAGTAGAAGTAACCTATGATTTCGGTCCAATGTACATATTTTGGATTTCCTACTTAGTAAAACTTGGTTAATTTTAGGACCTCATAAAAATGCGAATACACATTCCATTTCATTTAGTTCCTAAATTACAATCAGTGATTCATTGAAGCGTCCTACATGATGGCTGATATTCCCTATCACTTCAAGATTTCTAGGACACAAATCTTGGACGGTTGTGACATCACTCATGAAATTGAAACTCCTTGTGTAGTGGACTTCAACAAACGTGAAGTTCCAGTTTCTTTGTTATAAGTTTTGTGAGAGCTGATATCTGTACTCTTGAAATTTTTCTATGGTAATGAGATTGATCCTCAGCGATTCAACTTCAAAACACTAAAAATAAATGCACGCACAAAAACGGAGTGCACAATTTTGCATCAATGTTATGCAACATTTCATAGTTGATCGAGATGATATCAATTAGCCATGAATCCCTCCAATAAGTTCTCGGTACATCTTTTATCTACCGATTGAACAAATAAAAAAAATACTAAGATTTGACACTTCGAAAATAAATAAAGATGTTTGAAAATCCCTCTGTTGTACATCGGCCGATTTTCGAGAAAGCGTCTGTCAAATTGATTTCTTGTCTATCAGAAATAAGTCTGCTGGAATAGCAGGGTTGTTTGAAAATTTTCCATCTGTCAAATTTTAATAAAAAATCATCAAATGGAACACAGCCTTAATAACTTGAGCACAGAATCGTTTCTTATTGTGTTTGTCGTATTAGATGCTAGATAAAAACTACAAGGGACAGCCCTATGGGGTTGTACGCAATGGTGACGTAGGATAACGTGGTCTTATATAAAAGGTAAATTTTATTTTTTAACTGCAGCAGGAGCTTGGGTTTTGTGTAGGAATAGGATCTTGAGCGGGGTTCTCTCTGTTTATACTCTTTATTATGACGCGCTTGACATAGATGGCCCACAGCGACTCACGAAGAGCTACTGATTCCGGTCAATAGCGGTGCGGCTTCTTCTTACTTCTATGGATGCTCATGTGGGCTGCAGTTTGCTGCTTGCAGGCAGCATTTCGTTGTGTATTGGAGAAAACCACCACTCACCACGCGGTGATTGAATAAACATCGTTTGGTAAAACCGGAAGGAACTCATCTTTGAAATCTGTGTTAGGGAAATTGTTTTTCGCAGGCAATCGGTGATAATTTTAGATATCAAAGCAACAGTTGCAACTTCGTGCAATTTTCAACAGTGACACTTTGAAAAATGATAGTCTTAAATTTAACAGATGCGTGGAAATATTTCTGATCGATTGGCAATAACAATTATTGAAATTGGTCCAGGGGCAGCTGAGTTATTAACGATCAAAATCTTTCATAATTTTGTTACATATTCCATTTTTGGTTTTCACAAAGTGTATCCCCATATAGAAATCACAGACGTAGTCCTACGTCAAAACTTCTTTTATCGATATGTGTGCTGAAAATACCTGGGCCGAGTGGATTCAAGTAGAAAGTCGACGAAGAAAATCTTGTCAGTGTTACTTAGGACCTAATGCAAATTCAACTTGAATTAATCATTTCGTCCGACCACTTTCCACAGAGATGGCGCTGTTCCACTGGTAGGAAGTGATAAAAATCCCCATATAGAAATTGAGAGAAGTGGGAATAATTCGCTTTCGGTGCATATTCAGTTCAAAAAAAGTGAACGACAATCTAAAGAAATTGGTCAGGGACTTTGTCGTTTACTTTTTCCCCGGAAATTATTGTTAAACAAGCTACAATTAAAAAAAAACGATTTTTCCCCATACAGTTTTACCTCCGTTACTACCAGTCCCCGGAGAGCCAACAAATTCAAATTTGAGAGAGCAAATTTGCTCTCACGACCTCAATCTCTCAACATGCCATGTATTTTGATGACACTCGATTTGTCATTTCCCTTTCACAGATTACAAAATAGAGTACCTGACACTACAAAACATGTCTGGTATCTCTATATACGCATTTACTTTAACATTTGAAGTCCCTACTGTTTTACATATCCTCCGCAAAAGGTACTTTCTGCCCCGCCCCATTCATAAAAAATGGCGGGAAATTCTGTGAGGGGTGAGCTATTTTGTGTGCAGAATGTGTAAAAAAGGAGGGACTTCGAATATTAAAAATATCGAATATCTAAATGGATATATAGAGGTACCAGACATGTTTTGCACTGCAGTGTCCTCTGTGAACAATTAACGTAAAACAGATTGTGTGCAGTTTTCGATACATGTCACTGCAAATAACAGCAGTGACATCTGATGGAACATGAATGCAGAAGCTTGTCAAAATGATTAATTGTTTCGCTTAGCTGTAAACAGAAAATCGAACATTAGAAGTAGGCCCTTTTGAACGCTCACTTTCGAATTTCAGAAACTAGCACTAAAAAAAAACTCGACGGTACCTCTATTTATGCTAAGAGATAAGCATTGCAAGTCCCTCCTATTTGAAGAATTATGCGAAAAAAAAAACGGGTTGTATAAACCGTTTTATAGCATAATTTTCCAAGTAGGAGGGACTTTCATAGCTAATCTGAAGCATAAATAGAGTTATCGTCTGATAATTTCAGTGCTTGGTACAGAAAACTGTAATCTGTGTAGGAAAATCCTTTTTATCACCACAGAAACACCCCGTTCCCTCTTAATGCAAAATAATGAATGTGCGTTCACAAAACGCAAGAAATCTTCAAAAACCATATTAGATTTTTTAACTCAATCAATAGATTAAAGATGTACCGAGAATTAAATGGAGGGATTTCAAGCTAAAATGTTCTGATCGCGAAATATTGAATATCAATACCGAAATTTCGCATAAATGTCCAACCCATTTTGTGATAAGGGAACTTTCATAAATAACTTAACTGTTTATTTGTCCATTTTTAAAACAGTTTTTTTTTTATGAAAAATTGAAAAAAAAGAAGTTTATTGCAACAGCTTACGAAAGGTATTTCCTATCGATTGGTGTATTCGGATTTTAATTTAATCTATAAATGACAAAGCTTATAGCGTTCAAAAAATTACACCTTTTCGTGACGGTCGCAATTTTAGATTTACCCCCAGTACCTTCCCGTAAGGCGTAGTCTACGTCAAAACATTGCTTATTTTCCATACTTTTTTTAATACTAAATACGGTATGACCGTGAACGGTGATTATAATCAATAAATATCTATAACTAACCTGATTAATCAGTCGGAAATCGTGACTAACGAGTACCAGACCACCCTCGAAGTCGTTGATGGCCTCGGCTAGAGCATCGATCGTTTCCATGTCCAAGTGATTGGTAGGTTCATCAAGCAACAGCAAATGTGGTTTCTTCCAGGCCAGATATGCAAACACTACCCGGCAACGCTGTCCATCAGAAAGCTGCCGAATTGGGCAGACCTGTTGTCTTCCGGTCAGCCCGTAGCGACCGATGATCTTACGCATCTCTTCCCGTTCCACGACCTCCGGGAAGGATTTCAACATGTAGTCCAAGGGACTCATGTCCATGTCAAGCAATTCGTGCAAGTGCTGGTGATATCTGGCTATGCGCAGATGGGAATTCTTACGAATCATTCCCGCGGTAGGCACTAAGTCTCCGAATAAAAGTTTCAACAGCGTACTCTTGCCGGCTCCGTTGGGACCTACCAGGGCTAATCTAGTGTCCAAGTCGATACCGAATTCTAGATTTTTGTAGATGTAAGGCGAATTATCGTTATATCGGAAGCTGACGTTCTGCACCATAATGACCGGCGGTGGAATGGTTCCGCAAGATGGGAAACAGAAGTTCAATTGCTTATCATCAACGGCCTTCTCGGTCAAACCTTGTGCCACCATTTTGGCAAGAGTCTTTTCCTTGGACTGTGCCTGACGGGCCAACTTGGCCGAACCGTGACCGAACCGAGCAATGTAGTTCTTCATATGAGCGATCTGATCCTGTTCCCAGTTGTATTGTTTCATTTGGTTTTCCAGCAATTCCATACGAGTTTTGACGAACTGCTCGTAGTTACCCGTGTAATATTTGAGCTGTTTCTGAATCAAATGAACGATGTTGGTGCACACTCCGTTGAGGAAATCTTGCGAATGGGAAATGATTACCAGAATTCGTTTGTAGGTTTTAAGTTCTTCTTCTAACCATACGCAAGCGTCCAGATCGAGATGGTTGGTAGGTTCGTCCAGTAGTAGCAGATGAGGCTTGACAAACAGGGCCCTGGCCAGGGCAATTCGCATACGCCAACCTCCGGAGAACTCTTTAGCTGCTTTCTCCTGCATCTGCTTGTCAAAGCCAAGACCGTGCAGAATACGGGAAGCTTTTGCTTCTGCCTGATCAGCAGACATCTCATCCAGTCGATCGTAGATGTCCATCAGCCGTTCCTGGGACTCGTCATCGTCTTGCTCAATCAACTCGTCAGCCATTTTCTCCAGCTTAATGCGTTCCTCGTCGACTTCCATAACGCACTGTAAAGCACTCTTGGAGCTGGCCGGAATTTCACGAGTCAAGTGGAAGATATCGATGTGGTCCGGAATCGGCACCTCTCGATTACCAAGCACTGCTAGAAGAGAAGATTTGCCGCATCCATTGGCACCGAGCAGACCGTAACGACGGCCACAGTTCAATTCGAGCATAGTGTCTTGCAGCATCTCAGAACCGAAGAATGTAATTGAAAAGTTGGCAATCTTGATATCGCGTGACCGTGGATGCACGGCCAATGAGCCAGTGCACGACCTCGCTTCTGCATTGATTTTTGCCTCCTCATCAAGTTTGGCACAAAGTGCCTCTGTAAATGTTTCCAAATATTCATAAAAATTCGATGGTCAACATTTTACGTTCAACACTTACCTTCCTCGGTAATTTCGGCTGACCCGTTGGCAGCACCATTCGCTGGCTTTTCATCTTTTTTGCCAGTCTGAACCAAGGTAATCTTCTTGTTGCGGCCTTTTTGTTTCTTGTCGGGAGCCATGGTTGCTGAAAAACACTACAACGAGAAAAGCGATTTTAACACAATAATATGTATTTCATTATTCATTGCAACGCATAAGAGGAAACTACAGCTAGCTAACCGAAGCAGCTGTTCTATTTCCGCATAAAACAGCCACCAGCGAGAGAAGAGAGCCAAATCGCAAATGACGATGTGGTATTATTCTTCTTACTCCACGTTTTTTTTCTATCTTCCCTCTTTGGAAAGCGCATTGAAGTGCTGAGCTGAACAAACTGACTGAATCACTGAATGGTGAATGCATCGTGCAAAAGGGTATAGCGTAGCGAACAATGAAATTTCACGAGTAATTTTCCATCGCACTTGAATGCCATTTTCCGACGCTTATCGAGGTAAAAACACTTGCCTGCGTTAGCTTTCGATGAAATCTGTGTTCAGAGTACCGTTAACCAACAATTAATGGCCAAAAACAATAATAAAATCGAATTTTTAGGAAATTTCCACAAACCTGCAAATTTTCTCTCTTTGCTTGACAAGACGAAAAGACTTTAAAGAAGGAGCACGGCTGAGAATCCGATTACACACACGCTCGTTCGAGGGTACTCAAAACTGAGTTGGAGTTACTCATTTTTATATCTTCATTTGAAACGTCAACGAATGAGTGGTTTAGATTTATAAATTTGAGTAACATCAACTCAACAAAAAATAAATAAGTTTGGATCTCAATTATGAGTTTTCAGCTTGTTAATTGACTCAAAACAAAAATCAAAATGGCGTTTGTGAAAAAGTTATAAACACGAAGTTCATCTTTCCGGTACCTAAAACCAAAATTACAATTTTGAAAGAAAACTGGAGCAGATTGCAGCCACGGTTGATGTGATCTAATACCTGATTATACAGGAATTTTATTCAAAGCCTCTTATAAATTCGCTCAGGTTCAGGATGGTAAGTACACATCCTAGCTGTATTTGAATTGCATACTAATTTAATCCCACTCAAATTTCAGAATACATCCGGGCATTACTGAGTTTTAATGACAAGATGCCAGTTCGTGGAAACCACCGAACAGTAAAATGGAATCCGTCGATGGACGAGGAACGAACGATTCATCCTTTGGTCTATTGGGTAGCGGTAAGAAACATTCAGATATTCATTGCATTTGTGAAATTTAATGAACATTTACTTTACGGCATTTCAGCCTTCAGAAAACGCATTGATGGATCACATGTCCTCACTCAATAGTGTTCCCCACCCGCATATCGTATGCATTGCCAATCCTAGGAGTGCTGGAAAGCTTTACTTGGTGACTAGCAACCAAGTTTACGTGGAAACGAAATCGTTCATTTACGGCATCGATTTTTTGTTTAAAAATTTTCCGGTCTTCGGAATTAAAGTTCCTACTGGACTTATTATGATGATCGATTCCCTGGCCATCGTTCTCTACAAGACACTGAATTACAGCACACGAATGACGGTCAACAGACTCGCCGCCTCATTCAAAGAAGCAGCACATACTGAAGATCGAGAATGAGATGATTTTTTGTTTCTGTGACCTGTTATATCACATTACTTACATGAGCATGGAATGAAATAAAGTCACCTGATTCTTTTTAATTTAACAGAATGTTTTTCGTTTTTACTTCACAATCACAAAAAGAAAAAAAGAAATTATTATTACATATTTGCTTATTTTTCACCCATTTTACTACATTTTTGATCTAATGGAAATGAGTATAAATTGCTCGAACATAAATATACGCCAGTTTCACTCAAAATTGAGTTCTGACTAAGTTACTCAAATTGGGGTAGATCCAGTTTTAATGAAATTGAGTGGTTTTCCACTCAATTTAGAGTATTCTTGAACGAGCGTGCATGTTTCCCGTGACAGACGGGTACTAGAAAGGGCCCCCGAATGACAGTTGGTTTGTTTCCACAGGGACTGTGGAGTGGGATTCTGGTATCGAAATGAAACGAGCGAGGAAACGGGGGAACGAAGTTGCATACACGCTATTTCAAAACCCCAAAATTTGAGTAGAATCCACCCAGATCTATCAAAACAGAACCTACCCAAAAATGGTTAAACTATGTTGACAGTGAAAAGTTGACAAATGGACAACATTGACATGAATCCGATCGACTTTGTTCATTTGTCAACTTGTCACTCCCAACATAGTTTACCCATTGTTGGGTAGGTTTAGTTTTGACCAATCTGGGTGGATTCTTTCCAAATTTGGGAGTATTGAAATAGCGTGTACAATAAGTTGGAAGAGACTTCCCGCATAAACGCGAACCATCACATGACCTTACCGATAATGGTTATAAATTGTTTATAATCCCTGCTAAACTTCAACTGAAATGGTTATGGAACTTTACATGAACGTTTGTGTGATAAAGTTTTAACCTTATGTATTATGGTTTTTTGGAAGCGGACCTTACAAATAATGGGTTGTTAAGAACCATTACCATTCCAAATTCTTGTTTTCTCCATACATTTTCGGAAAAAGAACTATATTAGAACGGTTTTACTTATGGTTTGAGAACATTAATGGTTATGGTTATGGTAGTCAGTAAGGTCCATTAATGGTTTTGTATTATCGCTCAACTTTACGTGAAATATATCGTGAATTGGTAATCAGTAATTTACCGGCAACCAATTCGCGATATATTCCACATAAAGTTGATCGATGTTACAAAACCGTTCATGGACCTTACTGGTTACCATAACCATTACCATTAATGTTCTCAAACCATAAGTTAAAAGCTTTTAGTATAGTTTTCTTTCCGAAAATGTATGGAGAAAACAAGAATTTTGAATGGTAATGGTTCTTAACAACCCATTATTTGTAAGGTCCACTTCCAAAAAACTATAATACTTAAGGTTAAAACTTTATCATTAAACGTTCATGTAAAGTTCCATAACCATTTCAGTTGAAGTTTAGCAGAGATTATAAACAATTTATAACCATTATCGGTAAGGTCAATTTATGGTTCGCGCTTATGCGGGTTGTCAACGTCCCAGGTGTCAACGATGCCAGATACACGCTAACTTGAAAGTACCCATTAATGGTTGAAAAAGACCCATTTTGAAGAAAAGTGGCGTAACTCATTAAATGAGTAAATTTTTTACCCATTAATGAGTATCTGTTACCCATTAATGAGTAATTGTTAATCATTAATGGGTAACAGATACTCATTAATGGGTAAAATTGTTATATCATTAATGAGTTAAGCCACTTTTCTTCAAAATAGGTCTTTTTTACTCATTAATGAGGACTTTCAAGTTAGCGTGATACAATGTACATGTCAGTGCTAACATTTGAAAACGGCGCAAAAGCCATTTGTAAACAAATGGTTTGTGGGCCCTTTACTCGCTACCCGAACAACGCCCACGCAAACCAACAGCATCGACAGGAAGGGGAAAATTTCCCCTACCCGATGTTGCTGTTGTGTCGCGTGGGTGTACTTCAAGTAGTGAGTAAAGGGCCCACACACCATTTGTTTACAAATGGCTTTTGTGCCGTTTTCAAATGTTAGCACTGATGTGATGTAAAAGTCTGCAGACTTTTGTACACGATAAAGGTGGAAACTATCTTTTTTAACCCTAGTAACTTGAATTATAATAACGATTTTTCTAATCCCATTAGATATACAAATAGTTGGGGTAGATGTACCAGTTATGGCTATACGTTCCTATTATGGTGTGTTCCAATTATGGCCTATGGGAATTCCATAGGCCATAACTGGAACACACCATAATAGGAACGTATGGCCATAACTGGTACACCTACCCTACATATATTAACAATTGCATTAATTGTAGCTTCACGAAATACTTCATTTGATATTTTTTGGATAAAATTCAAAAGCAGTGACAACTTTTTTCATGTGCAGAAGACACATCATTGGGACTATTTCTAGTCTGTTGATGCAACCATAACAAATAAACAAATAAACAAATATATATGGCATCATTGAGACGTGTTGACAAATGAACAAGACCAGCCCAGTGGCAGGCGCATAGGCAACATGTTATACAGTGACAGCGGGCCCAGCACAGCAAAATAAATGATTTGAGCCCGGGACATGCTGCCTACTGTCAAACGCTGCTGTTGGTATAGGCCTTGTCACTGGCCTGAACAAGACCGATCAGATTCAAGTCGATGTTGTCCATTTGTCAACTTGTCACTCCCAACTTAGTATACCCATTTTAGTAGGTTTACACGTTAACTTGAAAGTTCCCATCAATGGGTAAAAAATATTCATTTTGACGAAAAGTTTTTTTTTCTTTATTAGAGTGACTTTCAGCCACTGGCTGGTTCGTCACTTTTGAAGAAAAGTGGCTTAACTCATTGATGAGTAGATTTTTTACCCATTAATGAACATCTGTTACCCATTAATGAGTAACTATCGAGGGGCTGTCCACTTGAGTATTTTCGATTCATTTTTTCGTATTTATGTATTTTTAAGTTTTGTGTATTTTTGTATTAAAGTGTATTACATTCATTATGAAATGTATTTTCGAGGTATTTTTTAGTATTTTTATTAGAGTTTTTTTAGTTTCAGCGTGTACGCATTTACATATTTTTTTTGTGAATTTTCCGAAGTGTGTATTTACAATTCAGCTATGAAGTTGATCGCCCCTCGGTAACTAAAGGGTGATACGGTCAAAATTTGGTCAAGGGAAAACGCGTGTAAATCGGTGAAATCGTTTATTTAAAAAATCAAATTAAATTTCTTTTTCAAGTTCAATTAGTATAAAATTCAGGAAAAATATTCAGTTAGGCTTCCGCTTTTCCAAATCCGAATTGCCGGGCCTTACGCTTGACCCCTGCCATCAGATTTTGTACAGCCACCTTGTCCACCTTCTTCGCCGCAGAAAGCCAGTTTGCCTTGAACTGCTGCTCGCCCTTAGCAGTTTTTTTGGTCTTCTTTAGGTTCCGCTTGACAATAGCCCAGTATTTCTCAATTGGGCGGAGCTCTGGCGTGTTGGTAGGGTTCTTGTCCTTGGGAACCACCTGCACGTTGTTGGCGGCGTACCACTCCATGACCTTTTTACCGTAATGGCAAGATGCCAAATCCGGCCAAAACAGTACGGAACAACCGTGTTTCTTCAGGAAAGGCAGCAGACGTTTATTCAAACACTCTTTCACGTAAATTTCTTGGTTGACAGTCCCGTAAGCTATGAAAATGCTGCTTTTCAAGCCACAGGTACAGATGGCTTGCCAAACCAGATATTTCTTTGCGAACTTTGACAGTTTCATGTGCTTCATTAGCATCTGCTACCTTTCCCCTTCCTTTTGCCGTATAAAACTCCTGTCCCGGAAGCTGCTTGTAGTCGGCTTTGACGTAGGTTTCGTCGTCCATTACCACGCAGTCAAACTTCGTCAGCATTGTCGTGTACAGCCTCCGGGATCGCGCTTTGGCCGTCGTATTTTGTTTATCATCGCGATTTGGAGTCACTACCTTCTTGTAAGACGATAGTCTGGC